ATGTAGCCCTAAAGATCAATTCATGCGCCCTGTAATAGCGAGATCAAATGTAGGATATATTGGGCTCCCCAGGCACGTATGGTAAGTGGACAAAAATTTGAATAGATGCAAACACATATAAAAAACATAGTTCTCAAAAAACAACACATACCAACTTCTTTGCACTTCCAAAAGCACAAATCTTTAACTGTTTAAAGAGAGGTTTACAAAAATTAGTGTCCAACATGCTTTTGATGCAATAAGGGATTACTACTAGTAGACCAATTCAACAATTATCGAGATGGATAATTCCATTTCACAAGGCTTAATATGGTATACAAATGCTTATTATGCCTACAGAAATAAACATATATAACTGCATCTTATATTCTACTCTGTTAACACAAGCATAAATAATCCTCTTTCTTTTATGTTTTTGACAAAAATAGTAAAAAATGAACTCAGACCTATTATGTGGCACTGTTCTGTACTTTTGACTTCACTTATACCAAAACAGATGATTTTGTTTACTAAGGTAATAGTAAGTGAATGTGCACTTTAAACCAAAGTGCTTCCTACATAATGTAATCAACAAATTCACTTCTGGAACGAGCCATGGCTTGGACCTAATATTAACCTTTGTAATGCTATAGAGGGACCGCTACCCTCCCATGAAATAACTGCCACAGTCAGCCATGACATCCAAAATAATCTAATTGATACCACTTCACTACCCTTCGTCATACCCAAACCCACCCTTTCATTGATCAACCAAATCCATATTCCAACCTTAACTAACCCCCACTCCTTTGACCAAGTCATTTGGGGACTGACTCCTAATGGCCAATTCTCCGTTAAATCACTATATCACGCACTAGAAAACTATACAACAACCTACCTACACAATTGGCTTTAGAAACTTCGCCTACCACCAAAAATACTATATTTTCTTTGGCTAGTCTCACACCAAAGGTTAGCACGGCTACTTACCTTCACCATATGCATGTCACACAATCCAATACATGCAATCTCTGTCTTCAAAGTGCAGAAACAATTACCCACCTTCTCTTCCAATGCCCTAGTCATACCTCCTCCATATGGACACAATTGGGGCTTGCGCCTTACAAGCTTGTGATCTCGTCTATTCACCACCCATCCAAATCATCCACCAACTAATCACTGCCTATCCTTGCCTACCATTCCACTTGCCTCCACGTATACTAATTCCACACGTGGTATGGCACATTTAGAAACTCAGAAATCACTACATCTTTAACGACACTCACCACCCCTTCCCTCAACCCAGAATATGCTATCACAAGCAATAGAATATCACTACCATATCCAACAAAATTCACAATCACCAGCACCCACGCACATGTATGTTAAATGGCACTCCCCCACCTATAGGTATAATTAAATTAAACAGTGACGGAGCCACCAAAGGCAATCCAAACAAAAATGGCGTCGGGGGAATATTCAGAAATGCCATGGGCCATTGTTTATTAGGGTTCATGGGCACAAGACCCACAGGTAACTCCACCTATATGGAATTTCATGCATTAATACAGGGTTTGCAATTAGCTCGACGTCATCAACTCCTACCGTTAGAAGTGAACGTGGATTCTACAGAGGTAATCTCGATGCTCAACAAACATAATTTACACAACTCATCCACGTTAATGGAATGCAGGTACTTACTCTGGCAGCTGGGTAATCCTCATATTATCCACACATACAGGGAGCAAAATTACGTTGCACATATCCTTGCTCAACATGGAGCCTCTTCAAATGTGCCGGACCAAACAACAGTCTTCACCCAACCACCCACCTTTTTGCTACCACAACTTTTGGCTAATCAACAGGGAGCAGCCTAACCAAGTCTCGTGACGAATTCTGGCCCAAACAACTTGTCCTACAGGTTGCATGCACGTGAACTTGGCACATATTTTGCAGATATGTTCACCTATCACACCACCATTTTGCTAGTGATCACTCCAATGATCACCCTTTAGATTACTTCTTTTTGTAATATATTGCAACTAGCTCCTTGTAATGTTAACGTTTAAATTAATACAATTTCGACTGTTGACCAAAAAAAAATATAATCAACAACATATTTTTAACCTACAAACCCCTTACACGTCAGTAATCAAAAACAATAACAACACAAATAGTTAGAACTGAGGAAAGAGGAATGACGGGTGAGTAAAATAGGAATTATTTCAGATAACCAAGGAAATGGAAGAGCTATGAACACCTAAGCAAGGAGCATAACCAGCAGATATTGCCAATTCAATTTGTGCAGTCAAATTTACTATAGGATCTGTTGTTAAAATTTTTTTGAACCTGTTTTCCATCAATTCCAATTGCATCGTCCTAAAAGAATATAATAAACAACACAAAGAATCAACAAATTGAGATGTAAAAAGATAGACAATGTCGTTATTTTAACTAAACTACCATCAATATGTTTTGCCTTAGTTGAGGGTAGTAAGATCTGTTGTTGCTTCTTCTGCTTGGATGCTCTCCTCATCTTCATACCTGTTGGTATTTTTACTTCTTTTTTTCTCAAAAATTAGATTAGTGTAATGAAAAAATTTAGCAGCAAACTAAGACAGAGTAGAAAGTGTATGTAGTAAGCTTTAGAGAGAATTCAAGTCTGGCTCATAGTATTGCACATAATATATATATTGTCATATGTAACATCAAAGAGGTAAGTAGAAATTCATTAGCTAAGAGTAAGAACCATATCAAACATACGCAGCCCAGTTAGAATGCGGAAGTATATCTCACAAGTCTTTTCCTCAAGGAATATAACATAGCCAACCATCGCTAGGTGAGGCTAATCCTGAAGTTTCAGCTGCTAGAGAAGATAATTTTGTCTTCAAGTGGACAGACTTGTGAGAGCTCCAAGATGCCTTGAAACAATCCTGCGTGCTGACAAGAAGCATCTTGCATCAAAACCGAAGTACGAAGCTAATGACCAGAGAAGACAAAGATGTAACTATTTTTTATCGAAAGAAAGCCTCATCTCATTAGGCTTCCATTTTTTTGGTTCACAATCACAGCACACAGCAGCAGATAAGTTTTCAAGTTCCACTTTACATTGGTCTCATAGACAGGTAGTTGCAAGAAAATGCAGTGAATGAAAATAAAAAAATACGCTGAAGGGAATTCATTGAAAGTGTGATTAGAGTAAAAATATAGAACAAAAAGGAATCAAAGATGTATAGCATCATTATTATCATATAGTAAGGAATAAGTGAGTACCATGGCTATGTGCACCCTGTCATTGTTATTCACGTGCAGTATTTGATCAACAACAAATTCAAAGTATAAATTTTATTTGGTTGTACAGCATTATTATCGGCTATAGGCGGTTCACCCTCGGTTGTTTAGCATTATTATTGGCATCATGCGGTTCGTCCTCATCATCAATCTTCCATGATATACTTAGTTATCAAGTAACACAACAATGAGAACTGATCATAATTAATTAATTTTTAAAAAAACTATACAATTATGAACGTCCTTAATGGTAGAAACAAATACCTCGTGTTTATTGCAACTGTAGGACATATATTTTGGAAAACTTCTTTGTAAACAATATTTTTAATGAACACAAGGTCTTCTATGTGGTCGTCAGCATTTAGTATGGTTAATCCTTGTCTTGTTACTCTGGAGACAGCTACATATAATTGGCCATGGGTGAATACTTGTTTCGAAAGATACAATCCAATATGGTTTAGAGATTGTCCTTGACTTTTATTGATTGTCATGGCAAAACATGGCACTAAAGGAAGTTGTCGTCTTTTAAGCTTGAATGGCCACTTTGAATCATTAGGCGACATAATTATGCTTGGAATTGTGACTATCGAGCCAATATTTTTTCCAGAAATGATGTTTGCGCTGACGGACCAGTTACCAAGATGCATGACGATCAATCTTGTTCCATTTCATATGCCTTCACTTTCGTTTAGGTTTCTGAGAAGCATAACTGGGGTGCCAAATTTTAAATGTACATCATGAATAGGGATGCCAGGGAATCGTAAGCTGCTCAAAAATTCAATTGGGTACAACAGATCTTCATCATTAGTATTCACGCTTGCTTTACATATACATTGTCTGAGCTAAAATATTTTCTTCCTTCACCTGGTAGCATTTTCATAATTGTATCATTCAACTCATGCACCATTTCATTTTTTGGCGTTAGTATTTCTCTTTCTTTCAAATATGTTGGGTAATTATACTTCCGCAAGAGGGATGGGTAAACTACCTCGACAATTGATCCGATTGGATCGTTGGATGGTTTGACACATACATCGGGTGGTAATTTAATAAGCTCTTTATTAATATCATCGTAAAAGGAGCCATTTCCAATTTTTAGCAACCATTTGTCGAAAGTCGATATTTTAGCAGCCTCAGAATCGCTTACTCTTCTACTATCGAGACGCATGTTTTGCTTCAACTCATAAATTGTAAAAGAATGGCCACAAGTAAGAGGAGTTTAGTGACACATCAACAATATCAGCTCGTGTACCCTTTTGAATTACTGATAGTATTTGACAAAAATCACCACCAAATACGATTGTAAGGCCTCCAAAAGGTTTGTCACAACTATTTTCATACCTCACCCGGAGGATATCTCTCAAGGTCTTGTCTAAGGCTTCAAAACAAAATTTATTTGTCATTGGTGCTTCATCCCAAATGATCAAGGAAGTTTTCAAGATAAGTTCAGCTAACTGACAGCCTTGTTTTATATCACAAGTTGACTCTGAGCTAACATCCAAAGGAATATGAAATCGTGAATGAACTGTCTAGCATTTGGTAATAACAAAGTAGCTATACCAGAAGTAACAATAGGGAGAACTATTTTTGATTGTGATCTAATCTTAGCTATTATTGTATTCCATAGAAATGTCTTCCCAGTACCACCATGTCCACTTATAAAAATAAACGGCCTTCTTCCTTCTCAACTGAATTTATTATTACTTCATAAGCTGACTTTTGGAAAATATTTAACAGCGGGAATGATTGGTCATGCACCATTTTAGAGCATCTTTGTCATAGTCTAGCTCCTCAGTAGTGATAAGACGATTTCCGGCATTATTTAGTAAAGCTGAATCTGGGAGTGGCATTCCATCTATGTCTTTCAGACTTTTTCCGATCTTCAATAGGATGCTTTCAATCTCAAATAATGTATATGCTTCAAGTTGTTTTTTTGTCAACTGTAAATCTTTCAATCGAAATCTCTTTCTCTGTAATGATATTATATCTTCTGATAGAATCTCAAAGTTGGTCTTCCAAATTTTTCTACAATCAGTTACCTGACAGTGAATAAGTATTGTCACAAAGAGATTTCTTAACTCGTTTCCTGTTGCCCAAAGTACAGCCTCAGCCAAGCAGCCATTCCACTCTTTATCATCTTCTAGTAATCCTAAAGCGTAGCATGCATCTTTATAATTTTCGTGCGTTACTCCATTTATTCTTCTGATGCTTTCAAATGAAGTGCACCCTTTGAAAAAATTAAGCAGCATTCTCAAATAAAAACGTTCTCCACTTCCAGGATGAGCAAAGTAAATTCTACCAACTACGTTGCCATTTCTCCTTTTGGTCCAAGTTTTGTCTCTTAGAATTCCAGACAAAATGTGTAGGAAAATTAGAATATGTGAGATCGTGCCTCAGTGTACTTTCTTGTTTGCCTCAAACCATTCCGTGAATTTTGTTACTTCATGGCAGGTGTACTAAGAACGCTTTATGCTCGCCTTTCTTCTTCGAATATTATTGGATTTTTTCCCTCTAATTGAAATGGCAATCGCTCAACTGCTGGTTCTTTGTGATGTATGCCAAATTTAAATATCCTCCAGCAAGCTTCCGTAGCTGATATATATCTGCAATCTAGATATCTTTTAATCTCATCAATTTCTACAGCAGTATCTGTACATTCTACAGTTGTTGTTGCTCTATCGGATCCTTTATTGACATATTTGAACAGGTACTTCACCGACCTTGAGTAATTGCATAGCTCAACATTTATATGTGCACCAAATTTGACAATCAAGTTCTTATTGTAAGGTACAACATATCTGTTGTCTAATAAGACTCCATTTTTCTTGACCTGAGTACCTGTGTTCCTTCTCTTATAAATTGGAAATCCATCTGCATCAAATGTTGTTCGATCGTTGAATTTTTTTGGAAAATGCTTGGTGCACTTTCCTTGCTTCATACATGGGCAATGATGATTGTGTTCTCCACATGGTCCATGCATCATGAAGTTCTTGACGACATTATAACCGTCGGGATCAACCTCCAAATCAGGTATTTCTGCTGTTATTAATTTATCAATATGGTCGTCTGTGGAGGGACTCTTTAATGTGGGATGCAGGAAGAGCAATATATGTGCGTGAGGCGGTCCTCTTTTCTGAAACTCATGTGTATATAGAAATCTACGGAATTAATGGTATATGATGATAGTTAGGACGAAAGAAAATTAATAATCATACCATCAATTATTCAAAACATAAAGCTGACTTTCTTTTTAAGTATTCATTAAAGTAGTTCTTTTAAATTCCTATTAATAGTTTATTACGAAGAATTATAATTCTGTTAAATAAATCAAACCTTAATTTTGTTGTTGTTGTGTATCTATTGAGAATACATTTGTTCGTACTTGGGAAAGATAAAGCAAAAAAAAAAAAAGTAAATAAACATATTATTGATAGATGAGTGATGCCTGCAATGGGTATGTAATGATGAGCAACTTACAGGCAATTATTTTCCCAAGAGACTGTTGCTTTTTCAAATCTTGCATTAGTTGGAATAATTTTATTTGGAAAACTCTGCATATGATGTCAACCCGGCTATCATCGCCCTCTTGGTTACTTAAGCGGAGCATTTCATTTATTTCTGGCCACTCTGGGTTGCAAGTGAAAGTAAGAAAAAAATCCGGATATCCAGCCCATCTACAAATTGTCATTACATCTTGATAATTTTGAGCCCTATATCGGGGTACCCCAGTGTGCGATGAAGGCAGGATAATAGTTTTTCCTACCATTGAACAATCAGAATCACCTCTAAGAACAGCATCCATTAATCCAGCGGAAAGATCAACTCTGAGTTTTTTTTATTTATTTCGGATATAGCGGAATCTTTCTTCTTCTATTGCCATGTAGCCGTCAACAATGTACTGCTGCAATAATCTGCCAGCTAGTAGAAGAGTTTGTCCCTCATTAAGTCTTTGTTGTATTCTGAAACAATAGAATTGTCTCATTGTTAATTATTCTCGCTTGGAATTTCTGTTGTTTACGTCTGCCAAAAGAATTCCAAGTCTATATCCGTCTTCGCCATATGGGTGTATTAATGGGTATGTCATAGACATGAAACTTGGGTGTAAATCTGTGATTCTTTGAAGTCCCTTTTTCTGATGTTCTGCAATAACATCTCGTTTTGAAGTTTTCTTCAATAAGATCACCAACGATTAATCCTGCAACTTCAGAGGCTGTGGGTATATTGTATTGTTGACCATGTCTTGTCCTGTCACATAGTAGCCGTAGACGGAACAGAGATTCTCGGTGACCTCTATATCTATCCCTAGCCATCCTAAATGATTTTACCAAAATGTTATGTTCGTCTAGCGTTTGAGATAAGTCATAAACAACCTTGGGATCAATATCTTCTTGCGACAGCCAACTCATTCTGTTACTTATCTCGTTTTCAGTATCATATATATAAAGCTGAGCAAACTGTGGCTTCTTCCCAATTTCTGGTAGCAAAGAGCATATGTGATGGTAATTCTGACCGCTCATCCTCAAAACATACGGCCCCTTTGAACGATTAATAGATCCATCAATTCGCCCCCTATAGATGTGAATGTGAACATCGAGTTATAAGCCCTGATATTTTTTCGAAAGTTGACACCTAGTTGTCCAGAATCTGTTCCCAAAAGATATTTTTGATAGGGTGGTGGTGCAGTCAGTAACGTTAGTCGTACGCAGCCTTCCGTACAACACAATGAGAATTTAGGGTGTGATGTCTATGTAGTTTTTCTTGTTCGTTCTTCATACCATAAAATAACACTACAATAAAGGCATGTGTACGTAGGGGGGCCAAAATTCTAAGTTGTTGCATAATGGCGTACCAGGTTCAAAATATTAAATATTAATATAGGCATTTTATACCTAGATAATGAATTTTCTTTATTATCAAACATCAACAAAAATTAAAAGTAACAACTTTGGCATTATAGTTAAGGAAAAAAGCTTGGTAAAGAATAACTTACCATTTTTTGAGGCAGTACATGTCTCCCTTCAAAGTTGATTAACTTCATCAATTTAGTGAATCTTTTCACCAAATATAGAAATAGAACTATTTTTTTTGTTGAGTGATACTTGTATTTCTTTTCATTTAACGGCATCTCTACCTGCATTAGGTAGGGGTAAAGTCTGATAAAGACTACCCTTCGCCGGACCCCACCTGTTGGAATCATACAGGATTTGTTGTTGTTGTTATAATGAGACTTTTCGCTTCAGTCTCACAAACTTGAATCTGCAATTTCAAATTACACTTAATTCCTCGTTCTTTCGGTTACGTTGGACTGTTGATGAAATTCTCTTCAATTTTATTTTTAGCATCCTTTTTTACCGAGCTAAAACTTGCAAAAGCTGCCGTAGTAGGGTAATCTCCAACGGAATATTCACCGACGCACTAAATTCCTTAATAGTAGCAGATATCAATTCCATTTAATCTGCTATAAAGTTTTGGAAGAGTGAAATATATCAAAATAACATATAAAAAGGACTATTGAAGAAAAAGAACATGATATAAGTAGAAGATATGAATATTGGAGGAACAAATCTAAAGTGAACCGACCTTGTGATCGAAATGGGATTAAATGGGTTATAGTGAATGAATTTGTTGATGTGTTTTGTCTTCTAAAATACTGTAAACAAAATTTACGCCTTCCTTGGATGTGCTAAAGCTTGAACTTCCAGAGAAAACATAATGGATGTTTGGGTGGTTGAAGAGTTTGGAGAAGATGAGTATCATGTGGTATAAGGAAAAAAAAAAGAGAATTAGGGATATTTTGTCAGTTTGGTGTATTATAAATATCTTCTTAATTGTGAATCATGCAACTGTCTCAATTCAACTTATGTTTAAAAAATCAGAAGTTACAACCGTTACCAAAATTCAAATACTTAAAAACCATTCCCATTAATCAGGAACACTAACAGCCACATCCGTTTTGTAACGGTGCATAATCTTTGTAACGGTACGTACAAAGATCAATTTTATCTTAAATGATTGATGCAATCACCGAAACACTTCCAAGAAAGCAGAACAGATACTATTTCCACAAGGGAAAAAACGTATGCTATATATTGTGTAGATTATGGTAGTTGTTTCTTCTTTTTCTCTCTTAATCTTTTTGTTTGAATTTTATTTTGTCTCCCTTTGAATATGCTTACAATTTTCTTGGTACTCAGGATATGCTTCATTTTCTTCATAGATTTGACTGATTTATGTTCCATGGAAAAGATCAGAGAAGGAAAATGCTTCTGCAATGTAGTTTGTGTTCTTAAAATAAGTCCACATGTTCTTGGATATTGACACTACATTCAAATTCACTAAAATCACAAGCATTGCCTAATCTCCCAAAACATTAAACCGCCTATGAAGCACTTGTATAAAATACCAAATATGGAAGAGTTCCGATCGAATAAACTGAAAAATTGTTCTTTTCATATAGGTGTGCATGCTCAACGATTTTACTGAAGAATTCAATCTTCATTGCAGAATGATACAAATATCTACCTTGTTTTGTTGTATCTAGTCATATTTATCTTAAACTGCTTTTTTGCTTTGGGCCAGAAAACAGAGAAAGTAAATAAATTGTCAAAGGTTTGTTGCATCAAAAGATTTTCTTTTATAATTTTTTTCCAAGAACAACTTTAATAGGATTCTTCTAGCATTACAAACAACCACACTCTATACATGGCTAACCAAATAGAATTAATTGAAAGGTAAACCATACAAATGTGGATATCATCACTTCTAATGAAAGTTAAATGACAACAACAGACAAATTCATTAATGCATATCTACTATTGACACTAAACAAAAAAGTAAAAGAAGTCCAAACACTTTTATATAAGCTAACACAATATGCTAGAAGCAATGCTAAAGACTTTTCTATTTGCAAATATTGGTGTCTCCATCGCTAAATTCATCGTCATTCATGATTATGATCTTCATCAGAGTCTTCAAAGTTATCCAACGAGACACCAGCAGCCTGTTTGGTTTTGAAAAAGAAAAGTTCACATATCTATTAAACATGTCCAATTTTAAATCTGAAAAAGATAGGTTATTGAGATACCTATTAAACTATAAATCAGCTTACCTTTTTTTTATTAATCTTTTTGCCTGCCGCTCCTCTGATTCTTTTTCATCCTCCAATAAGCTTTTTCCCTGCAAAAGCAACAAAAATAATGCTTATTTATAGATATTTATACATGTCCAATACAATTATGCATTAAAAGTGTTGGCCCAAGTAAAGGTGAGTTTCGAAGACTGGCAAAGGAACTCAGACATGGACCAGGTCTATCCTAGTGAAGCACAGATATGGTCAACTTAAGCATGTGAGATGCACGTGAAGGAGATAAACCTAACTTACCAGAAGTGATATCTCCTGATCTTGATCGAAAAGGTTGCATATCGGATAAGTAGAAAGACTCCTTGCTCAAAGAGAACACGGCTTAAGAGAAGGATTGAGTTAGAGGTTGAGATCAAATAGAACTCTTCCACCAAGAAAGAGTAGCATCAGAATTCTAGTTAATCTCTATTTACTAACTCCATAAATATTAGTGTTGTTCTCTTTTACAGGTAACGCACATAAGCAGAAGTTAAACGTGAATTGAGATCAAAATAGCAAGGCAATTTCGCAAGCAATTTGTGTATTATTCAAGCGTGCAAACCTGAAGCTACTTGAACAATATAGAAGAACCAGTTCCAAGTGTCTGTCTTTTATTCTAGTTCAATTGTAGTAGGTATTTTCATATTGTACCTTTCAGCTTTATCTAGAAGAAATTGTATTAGGTACTCAGAGTTTTCAAGTTAGAGTTAACTTGAAGTTGTCGCAACAGTTGAGGCTGTGTGCTACAACGGGATTAGAGTTAATCCTAGGTTTACAAAAGAGTTTTTGTAAATGTAGTTTTTGGCTCAGTGATATTAGTGGAGAGTTTGGGAAAATCCTACTGGAAAGTAGGTCGTGTTTTTTTCACCTTTTGATCCAGGTATTTTCCACGTAAAATCTTTGTGTTATTTAATTTTTGTGACGACCTGACCCGTCGTCTCATGAGTTACCGCTTCGTTTTTCCCGTTTTCAGCTTCTTATTGCTTCATTATCCGTATCTTATGTGATCGAGTTGGTTTGGAGAGGTTTTGGTAGGAAATGAGACACTTAGTCTCTTTAAGGAAGGTTTGGTTTGGAAAAGTCAATCGGATGTTGACTTATGAGTTAGAGGGCTCGGATGTGATTTCCGGTGATTCGGTTAGCTTCGGGGGATGATTTGTGACTTAGGAGCGTGATCGGAAGTGATTTTGGAGGTCCGGTGTAGAATTAGGCTTGAATTGGCGAAGTTAGTATTTTGGCGAATTCCGGTTGATAGGTGAGATTTTGATCCAAGGGTCGGAATGGAATTACGAGAGTTGCTGTAGCATCGTTGGATGAGTTAGGACGTGTGTGCAAAAGTTCAGGTCATTCGGATGTGCTTTGGTCGGGTTTTTGATCAAATGCGAGTTTCGGGAGTTTTAGAAGAACTTAGGCTTGAATCCGATGTAATTTGATGGTTTTGGTGTTGGTTGAGGTGTTTTGATGATTGGAGCAAGTTTGAATGATGTTTTTGGATGGATTGTCACTTTTGGTTGAGGTCCCGGGGGCCTCTGGGTGATTTTGGATGGCTATCGGGATGCGTTTTGGACTTGTAGCATTTCTGAAGTTTTCTGGTTCTGGTATTTCCGCACTTGCGGAAAAGGGATCGCAGGTGCGATCCCGCAGATACGGACAATACATCGCAGGTGCGATATTGTCTTGGG